ATGGTATATAATTCTCTTCAGTTGCATTCATATTTAAAGGACTTTTGACATCTATATCCATGGAAATATTGGTTTGATATATACAGTTTTGCTTAGTTTCACTCTCAGGACATTATTAACTATATACATTGAGTTGGAAAAGTGTTCTCTCCTCATTTATTTTTATCTTTATGGGCCGGGCATCAAATCCAAGACCTTGTACATACTAGGCAAATGCTCCACCGCTGACCTACCTCACGTCCTCTTTCTAAAATGTCGGTGGAATTTTCCAATGAAACCATCTTGTCCTGGTGATTTCTTTTGTGAGGTTGGGAAGTTTACGATTATGAATTTGATATTTTAAAGAATTATAGGGCTATTTAAAATTTATATTTCATATTGAATAAGTTGAAACATGTATTCATACAAAGATACTCCTGGTGTTCCCTCACCATTTTTTGATGTCTGTAGTATCTGTAATGACCTCTCCTGTTTTATATCTGATAGTGATAATTTATATCTTTTCCTTTTCTTCCTTTTTTCAGTCTAACTTGAGGCTTGATAATTTTAATGATTTTTTTTTTCAAAGATCAAGTTTGTGTTCCACTGAATCTGAAGGGGCTTAGTCACCAATGTAACTCTGCTTTGTTTCTGATTCCATCGTGACATTTTTTTCTTCTGAGTTCTCTTGACTCTTTTTCTTAGATTCTCTTGAGTCTTTCTCCCACACAGTTACCATAGCATCTGGAAACAACAAGCTGGATTGACAAATCCTATGACAATTGACCAAACTTCTTGGAACCAACAAAACTTTGCATAGATGATCCTGAAGTAGTGGCAGGAGGTAAAGACTAGGCAGACCATGGCCAGACCAAGACCGCCTGGAAACCCCTTCTCACGTGTAAACCTAAGACTGCAGTGAGCACTTGGAAGACAGAAGTTAGGTCACCAAACCTCTGTTCTTCCCAGTGTCATTATAGGGAAAATAAAGCTCATGTCTTGCCTTCCCTACTCTTTTTCTCTATGACTGGCTTTCTGGGATGGGTAGCTGAGCCTGGTCCAGCGAGGGAGAACCTTCTAGAGATGAGTGTCCAAACATCAACCCCAAATCCACTTATTTATCACAAAACGCCAACACTGCAATGAAACCTGAACACTGAGGTTTTAATTTATTTATAAAAAAACAAAAAACAAAACCCACAAAAAACTCTTACTTTAGCATCTTTTTTTTTCCTTCTTTTTGGGTTTTTGAGACAGAGTTTTGCTATGTAGTTCAAGCTGATCTTGAACTCACTATGCAGCCCAAGCTGTCCTTGAACTCATGGTGATCCTCCTGCCTCAATGTCCTGAGTGCTGGGATTTCAGGCATGCACCACCACACCCAGCTTACATTAATATGTTTTGTCTTAAAACAGAAATAGCATGTATGCCATAGGTTCATATCAGTGGTTTAGTCCACTAAAACTCTGTGGAGTGATGTTTTGCCCTGACTCCACTAACAAATTTTGGTAAGCCAGCCAGAAGGCCATTTTCATGCTTTAGGGCAATGGTCACTTGTAGCCAGCTGACCCTAAATGGAGATGAAGGATTGAACAACCCCATGCAGCTGCGGAAAATCACTTTTGTTTGGGGGATTTCTCTTTTCACCTTGGGCTGGCATTTACTGCTCTTTCTACTACTTGATGAAACAGCGTGGCCGTAAGTTTGAAATGGTCTTTCCCATTAAGACTCATAGGGACCCAGTTTAGGGAGGGTGTTCACCCACCCGCGGCAGGGCAATTACAAACTGGGATGGAATCCTGAAGGAGGGCTAACTGCTCAAGGCCACAGGGAGGGTCCCTTTTGGACTTGTACACCCTTTCCTCCTTCTGACTTATTAATTTGGGAGAACTCTTCCTTCTTATTGTAATGGTTCCCCAAAGATGATAGAACCCTTCCGAAGCATTTATGCCACCCTCTGTGCCACTGGAGCTCCCATACAAGTTTTACCCAAGATAATAGTGATTTTGGATGGGAAATGCCTTGTTATGAATTTGGCTAATGAGCAATCTCAGATCCTTCATCAAGCTGATCCCGCAAACACCCCAGATCCAGCAGATCCAGCACCACTGTGACAGGTAATCTTGACTGCCTGGCCGGTTAGTAAAGCACAATTCTGGGCATGTCTCTAGGAGGTGTCCGGAGGTGAACGGTACGTGGGCCAGCATCGTATTTGATTTCCCAGCTGCTGTGAATGTGAGAAGTAAGTTTCTGCTCGTCAGTATATAACACTGTGTTAGAATAGCTTGAATAAACTAGGAAAAATGACATGGTATGCTTTTATCTTTCACTTTCAATCAGCACTTAGTGTTTTATCTAAAGCGAATTTCTGTACACAACTTATACTTGGATCATGTTTTAAAATCCATTCTGTCAGCTTGTCTTTTGTACTTAGTAAATTTAGACTGTTAATATTTAATATAATTCTTGGCATGCTTGGACTTGGTATGCTTGGTAGGCACTGTTGTTTTTATAGTTCTGTTTTTTGTTTCTGAATTTTATGTTTCCTACCTTCCTGTGGAATAACTTTTCAAAATTTTAGATTATCGATGACTTTCTGATACATCTGACTATGTAGTTTTAATACCTAGGTGATAGTAGCAGCCAAAGATACACCTGCTCAAGCAGCACTGAGGTTTTCAAAAATGAATGTGGATTCTTCCTTTTTTCCCTTTCCATTCCAGCTGGACCACAAGGCTATGGGATGGCGTCTCAAATGAGGGGAGCCCCTCCCTCTGGTTTCAATATGGAGTTCTGGGCAGATAGTTCTTTTCTTTTACATCTTCCATGTCGCCTCCATGGAGTCTAAAGAGAAATTTGCTGTCATTCAGTTTTTTCTTTTCCCTATAGGTAAGGAATAATTTGTTGCTACTTTCTAGATTTTTTTGTTCTTGTAAGTTTGACTTTGGATTGACTTAGCTTTAGATTTGGTCATTTACGCTGTTTGGGATTCATTTAGCTTCTTAAATCTGCAAGTTTATGTTACATCTGGGGAATTCTCAGCTATTATTTTAGTGCTTTATAACCCCATACTATTTTTCTTTTCTGTGTGGGACTCCACTAACATGAACATTGGACCATTTTGTGGTCCTTGAGGGTCTATGGTTTTCTTTTTTCAGTCTATTTTCTCTATATTTCTCAGAGTTGGTGTGATGATTAATTTTGGATGGTAACCTGACAGAATTAAAGAATGCATATGGTACTGGTTTTATAGATTTGCAGACTGCAGAGTCACCAGGTAGTTCTCATGAAGACTTCTTTTGAGATTTTAAAGGGAAGCTGGGAGATCAGGCCAAAGACTGCACATCATAGAGCCCCAGCAATGGCAGGACAATGCCTAGTGGAACTGTGAGCATGTTATGGTTGTGCAGCATGAGTCACAGAGAGGCAGTTAAAACATGCATTACCCACTGCAAAAAGCTGCAGGCAGTGTACAGAAAAGCTCAACAGAGCAATCAAATAGCCTGTGACCAGCGGAGCTGGGCTGGGCTGCCCAGTGCAGTGGAGGTTGACCCTCCACTGAGATAATGTGTGCAAGACGCCAGGTTTGGAACTCGAGGATTTAATATCAGTCCTGCTGGATTTTGTTTTGGGGTTAATGAATCTTTTCTCTTTTCCAACGTCTCCCTCCCAGAATATTTATCTTGTGCCTATTCCACTATTGTGTCTTGGGAGTACGTAGATTGTATAGGTTCTCCCAGCTGAAAGAGTTTGAAGAGTTTGTCTGCCTTGAGTCTCAGAGATAGCTCTGTGCTTGGACTTTTGAGTGATGCTAGAATAATTCCAACTTTGGGGCATGTGGAACAGAATACATAATTTTCATTGTGAGGAAGTCATGAGCCTCCAGGCAAAATGCTATGGTTTGGTGTAGTTTGTCTCCAAAGGATTCAGGGACTGGAATCTTGGTGCTCAAGGTAGCCACGTTGGGAGGTAGTAGAGAATATTAAGAGATGGGCTGAGAGGGGAAGGTACTTGGTCAGGAAAAAGCTTCCCTCAGTGGCATTAAAGCTGCTCTTTTGGGAACTCCAAGCTCTTGAATGACTGAGTCTGCAGGGTGAGCTCTGCGCCTGACTCACTCCACGACTTCTTGTCTGGTGTGTGATCTCTTCCTCCCACCTGGCGCCTGCCATAAGCTCAGTACTTACCAGAGTCAAGTTGACACCAGCGCCACGCCCCTGAACCTCCACTACTGTGACAAAATGAACCCCCTTCTTCATAAAATTAGCCTGCTTTAGGCACTGCATTTTGTTGTAATACAAGAAAACACTCTAAGACATTGGTTAATTTTTATTGTTTAAGCTTTTGGATTCACTGATTTGCTTTCTCTCTCCTCTCTGCTGTGCTTTTGAAATTACCCATTGAGCTTTTAATTTTGGTAGGTGTGGTTTTTCAGTTTTAAAGTTTTCTGTTTTGCTTTTTCAGTTCTTCTACTTTTTTGCTGGAGCTTAAAAAAAAAAAACAAACTCCATAATTGCTCATTGAAGCAGTTTTATGACAGTTGGCTTAAAATCTTTTTTTAAAATAGCAAAACATTTATTGGCACCTTTTAGGCATACGTAACAATAGCACTCATCATTGGGAATTTGCACCTATATATGGTACATCTCACCCCTTTTTCCCATCTCCCTTTCCATTTTGTGCACTGTATTATTGTACATGGGGTTGTACATTGTATTGAAATACAGCACAAATATATTGACTTTCACCTTGATGACACGTTTAACCCATTTAAATGAGTAGTCAAATAAAAAATATGCAAAACGTGAGGAATTTCCATCTTCAGGTCCCTTGATTCCATAAATGACAGTATCATTTCACAGTTCACAAAACATTTTCAGCATTTTACTCCAACTTGGCCACCTCTCTTGAGAAAAATGATATCCCCATAATCAACATCCTTACTCTTTTTTTAATGTTTCAAAACATTTATAATTGACTTGTTAGTGTGATCACAGAGCGAGATTCCTGATTAAGCACGAAAAATAAATATGGAACACTTCATGAGTTTGCGTGTCATCCTTGTGCAGGGGCTGTGCTAATCTTCTCTGTAACGTTCCAATATTAGTAATGTGCTGCTGAAGTGAGCACAGCACCCTTACTCTTAAGAAACTCATGGAATTGGTGATTCCATCCCTAGAACCTTGTGAAATTCACAGCTTTGATGATGATTTGCATAACATCTTTTTTTTTTTTTTTCCTTCTGGACACAGGGTCTCTCATATAGTACAGGGTAGTCTTGAACTCACTATTTGAACTCATGGGATTCTCCTGCCTCAGCCTCCTGAGTGCTGGGATTATAGGCAAGTGCCACCACATCCAGTTTAAATCCCTCTTTTTCTTTACCAGCCATCACAGTGTACCACTATGGCTACACTAGATATGTCGACAAAGTTTGAAGAAAGTCACTGTTATTTTCACTGTTGATACAAATGAAGAGATTTAGCTGTTTTTTTTTTTTTTTTTTTT